ACTTGGTAGCACTTGTAGTCAATCTACACCTGAGTCGTTTAGACTGATCCTCTGTGAGTATGGAATAATTTTCTCCTTGCCCCAAGGCGTTCAGGACAGGCTTAAAGGCTGAGGTCCTTGCTTGGCCCCGAGGGCGTGCAATACCTTTTGGCGCAAGGCTCTGAGGTAATCGGTGCGCGTCTAGAGGCTTCTTTAAATTACGAAAACGCACTGCTAGAGCACCTGCAGCAGAGGATGTCTGCATCATTTGCGTCTATGACGTCACCGCGAGTGACGGATGATTTTCTTCGCCCTATGCCGCTCATGGTGAGCGTTAAGGTCTTTGTGGGGAGGAATGATGAGAAGCTCCTTCTCTGGGTGAGGGGTCGAGATGGCCATCGCATCCGCCATTCTCCAGACCGAGCAACAGCGCGTGGCGCTAGCTATTTTAAAGTTCGGTGGTCGAGCGCGAGAATGGGCACTTACGTGCGGCAATTCGGTCGAAGCTGCGTTTACCTCCTGGGCGGAGCTGGAATTGTAGCTTCCGCGAGCGCTCTCGCCGCCTAACCAGGCATATCGCGTGCGAGCGCGTTTTTTTGCCGCCCGACAGGGCAAAAAGGAATTGGTGGACTTTGCTCAAGAGATGCACACTCTCATTGCCGGGATGGCAGTCCGGAGGCGGTCACAGTGGCCGTCTCTACGGAAGGTCTCGACCTTAGCGTGGCCAGAATGAAAGTTTCCGTGTGCATCCATCTTCATTTGAAGAGGCGGTGAATGTCGCATTAAATGCTGAATTCAAAGTCAAGTCGGCACGACTTGGTTGGAGTTCACACTCCAACAGCTCTTCGAGCGGACCGGCGCCCATGGATCTCAGCTATGCTGATGACGAGGGAGCAGAGCTCCGAACTGTCGGGCAGCATACACACATTTGATGGTGTTTTGTCTGTGGAGAGGCCCTTCATCTTCGGAACGGTTGCCCCCTGCGCAAGGATCTTCAAGGTTCTTCGAACCATCGCCCCAATGCCTACCACTCTGGCTCGGCGCGGGGAGAGGACACTATTAAGTAGGCGCGAGGCGACCTACTGGGGAAGAACTGAGTTCTGTTGAGCCTCTGGGGGCTAGAGGTCAACAGCGCCCAGCCCCGAATAGCTCCGAGCTCTTTAACACGGAACGTGTATGCAAGCCGGGCTTGCTGGTGGGGGCGACCGTAAAGGGCTTCGAGAAGCCACGGAAATCCTCGTCGATTCCGGGGCGTCGGGCAATTATGCTCGAAGCTTGGAAATCAGCTGTATGCTGAGGCGCTGAAAGCGCGGTTGGGTGACATCGTCACTGTTCGCCTAGCGACAGGGACACGTGTCACGGTCCCAAAGGTCCCTGTGGACCTCGAAGTCAAGTTCCTTGACTTTAATAGCGTGGAACGCTCTTTAGTCTTAGACTTGGATGCAAGGTATGACCTCATCCTAGGAATGGCATGTTTGGAACACCATGGCCATGGATTGATTGGAGGTCAAAGACATAGGGCGCTACGCGCACGTCTCCTGGTAGAGATTTGGCGAGTCATGAAT